CTTCAGAATGACAATGTTTGGACAGGGTTGTAGTATTGTCCCTGGACTTGCCAGATGTACTGTATACTTGTTGACTATCAATCTCTAGGCCAGGGGTTACCAAACTTTTTTAATCGTTGACCCCCAACCACTTTCCAAAGCCTCACATTGACCCCACCGTAAAGTTTTATTACAAGTGTATGTGTATGAGCAAAAGAAAAAAAAATTGTTGTGGTCTCTGTGTAAGCAAAAAAAAACAAAAAAAAAAAAAAAAGATTGTGACCCCTTAGCCGCATCGACCCCCAATGATGTTGCATCGACCACTTTGGCGACCCCTGCTCTAGGCTGTAGTAGAGAGAGTACAGTGACCTATTGTTATTGAGTCCATGCAAGGTACACAGTACAGCATGTGCCGTGCAATGAAAGGAATGTGTACAGCAGGGTGGTTGGTGCCTTGCATACAGGGCAATATTATATAGCTGTCTGTAAATCATTTGCCTAGATATGGTGATACCTGATGTTGCTGAGAAATTTGTAAGCAGTTCACTTGCACTGCTGGTGGGGTGGGGTGGAGTTGAGCATTTATGGCCACATACCACCAATCCTGAAGTTAGATTTTTACTGTATATATACATATATTAAAAATCTTATTATCCAAATTAATTGGGACTTTGGGTCATCTGGATATGCAGAAATCCAGATAATTGAATTTTTGCTTAAAATAGACATTTATTTCAGGCCCATCTTTAGTATGTGCGAGGCCCTGAGCCAAGAAAAGCTTGGAGGTGCCCTTAACGAATTAGTAATTGAGGGTTAATGTTCATAAATTTTTTCAATTAGCTTTTTCTACTAAACATATACTCCACATATTTGTTATATTTATGTTTAATAAAATTTATCAAATGTATCTTTTGATTGTTTACTGTTTATTATAATTTTGTTACTTGTTGCTCTATTCAATTTTGCATATTTCTGAGGACTCAAATGTTAGGAGGGCCTGGGCCCGGTAGGTCCACACTTAAAGATGGGCCTGATTTATTTCTATCCAAACATTCCATTAGGTACTGTAAATGTGTACAAAGTTATGTCCAAGTAAAATATTAAATGTGGAAACACATACAAATGAATATACAGTGGTGCCTCATATAACATACGCCACGAATAATGGACGCTGCGAACAATGGACTTCCTGTTTGGCCATTATGAGACTAGAGTAACAGACTGGCTGCGAACAACGGACTTTCCGTTCAGCAGTTACGTGAGGCAAACAACAGAATTTCTGTAAACAAGTGCAAATAATGTTTCCACTCTTTTGCCGTTGCCAATGACAATCTGCTATTTTTATAATATATTAGTATTATTAGAATATATTATTAATATATCTGAAGTACAGCGCTCCCATTGGGATTTGGTTTGCTCCCTTGTTTATTACGTACATCACCTCATTTGCAGGGTATTTACATTTATTCAAGTGTTGTGCAAATCATGGCTTCTAAAAAAACAGAAAGGTGATTTCAATTGAAACAAAGCAAGAAATCATCAGAAGGAGTGAAAGTTGACAAAAACTTCCTTGTCAAATGGGGAGAGATTCAGGAGTTTACCAACACTCATTATCCAAACAAAGCTGAGATCTCTACAATGAACATCCTTGCCCATCATTTCCGACAGGTGTTGAAGAAGAGAGATAAACAGACCACCTTAGACATGTTTTTCAAGAAGCCAGCTGGCAAAAAACAAAGGATGGAACAAGATGAGTTGACCCTGCAAGCTCCAGTAGCCTCTCCTGAATCTGACTCCAATTAAAAAACAATAAAGAGACCTGCTGCAATGTGTTAAAAGTCTGTATCTGTATGAATGTGTGAAAAAAGTGTTCCTCCACCTCCTCACATCATCTGACTACCTGGCATAATTGGTGACTGCTCCATTTTCATTTTTTTATGGTACGGTTATTTTATGCTGCGGAATGAATTATACTTTTAACGTGTATTTCTATAGGAAAATGCGTTTCATATAACAGACATGTACCTGGAATGGATTAAGTACATTATACGAGGCACCACTGTAATTTATTTTCTACATTTAGAAAAAAAATTACTTTGCATACACATACAGTACATATACATACATGCCTATTTATTTTTAACAAAGTCTATGGGCAATACAGATAATCAGTTTTACTATATAGTGGGTGATCGGTTAACGAACATAATCCGTTCCAAGATTTTGTTCGCTATCCGAATTGTTTGTTAACCGATTATTGATTTACCGTAGGTTTTAATGGGAATTTAATTAATTCGTTCTGGAGACCTTAAAAAGTAAAAAATATATACCTTCTTACTATGTTTATTTATATGTAATAAGTTAATAAAACTACATAGATACACAGTGTTGCGTTTTATTAGTCATGTTTTTTCTGTTTGAAAGGGTTAAAGAGTCTGTCTAATGTCGATTGCTTTTCTCTCTTCTTCACGATTTTTCGTAAGTAATTAATAGCATTGTAATTGTAGAGGTCCCCAAGCCTCAACATGGTTTGGATGCCATTCTAAGACTGTTGTTCTGACATCCTTCCACTTCTATAAAGGATCTTTAATAACAGATATCGACATTAATCCTCTTTTTCAGAAGAAAACATATCTTGCTGAGTTTCTTGGTGTTCTTCATTCAAAAGTTCTAGGCATTCTTCTGTCGTCAGATCCGTTTCAGGTTCCATTACGAACTCTTCGATGTTCTTTATTTCTCAGAAGTGATTTTTGTTACTGCTTTAGCTGCTGGAGTCTTTTTGATTATACAGCATTTTTCTTAAATAAGATTGAACTGAGGCCTACTGTAGACCTGTTTATTCCATATTGCCCGGCAACATTAGGTATCTTCTGTCCACTCTCTACCTTTGCTATTATACTCTCATATTTCGAAAAGAAAAACAGACGCAAAACTTAACGAGTGCCTATCCGACAGTCTCGTGAATACACAAAAGAATTGTTTTGTCAGAAAAATAAAAGGCTGGAATTACAAGGGAGGATTTCAAAGTTTGGAGGAATACTATCCGATCGGCTTGAGCGTCGATGTTGACGTCTCCCACACTCCGAAAAGTTTCGAATTGTTGCCCGAAGACAAGGGAAGACCAATCGGTATTCATTATTTTATGTCGCTTCTTCTTGTATTTGTTCTGTGGGGTGTTCGTTGTCCGAACATAAAAACCTTCTGCGAAAGTGTTCGTTATCCGATCTGTTCGTTAACCGATCACCCACTGTATAACTAATTTTGAATCAATACTTATTTTACAAGTATTTGATCTCTATAATTATGTTGTATTTCCATATACAGTTAAACTCAGTTATAACAAACACAGATATAACTAGTTCAGTTATAACAAGCAAAACACCATAACAATTTTAATTATGCATATTTCCATACATTTTCTCATAATTATAATGAGGGTACTTTATGGATATACTAAGCAAATTTTCAGTAGCTATGTAAACACATGAATATTCTTAATTGTTTAAGTAGTAAGAAATGTAATACCAAATTCTTGGAATAGATAGTTTTACGACGTGCATGGATTACAAGCATTCACTCTTTTTGGAGACAGTCCCTTTCTTTTTTGACTAGCTTCTGGCCCTACTTTGCCAATTTACCTAATCTACACTATGATTATAAAATTACCATATTCTCCAGTTATAAATGAACCCTTTTTTGAGAAAGATATCTATGAAGAAAAGAAAATGTCTCTCAGTTTACCAAAAAGAAACTATTTGCAAATTAGAACATGATATTAAAAACATCAGACGTATGTAGAAAGTTTTCTTTGTCATCTTCAACAGTATCAACATTATGAAAAAATAAAGCAAACATCAATTTTAAAATTTGTAGATAAAACGACTAACTGAAATTTGCCATATTATTAATTAGTATTATCTTTAATTACAAAAAACTAAGTTGTTTAATAGAAACATCAAACGATTGTTTAAATAATCAAACTATAACTCCGCTAATTTTTAATAATTAATACTATTAATTTGCTACTATACTAGCAAATTACTTAGTATTAATTATTAAAATTAGCAGAGTTTAGCCTGATTATTTAGCTGATTGTTTGGTGATGTTTCTATATACATATCAGTCTTTACAATGTTTGTTATAATTGTTTAATGTTAATTATATTGTAGTTTGTATAATCTGTATATATAAAAATGAATGTATGTCTTACAAAAAACTTTTACGATATAAGCGTTAAATTAAACACGTATGTCACTAAATTGACGAGCGCTTTTGAATGTGTGTCTGCTGTCTGTCCTTCATGCATTACCACACTGTTTATCCGATTGCCATGAAACATGATATGTTTGATTTAATTTGAATATTTATGTTCTAATTGTGTTCCATTAGTTATTCTGTACATTTCACCTGAAAAAGAATTATTTATCAGTTCGAAAACTTTAGTGAAAAACTTTATTTTTCACAGAATGCACCAGACAAGGTGTTGAGTTACATCCCTGGTGTTAATGTGTTGTAGATGTTGATATTGAAAAAATTATTGTGCAGTAACAAATTCTGGTAGTCAACATAGTGAACTTTGTCAGGTCTTTAAAAGGTAATGAGGGCTCTGTGTTTCAGGTGCTTATTTTCTACAAAATGCCCGTTATTGAGGTTGATTATCCTTTCAAAGTTGTAAGGCTCTCAATGAAGGAAAACCCAGTTGTTGACTGCCATAAATGTTCATGCAGCTTGCTGGCCAATTACTGGATTGAACAACCCTTGTGATTATTTTTTTAATAATGTAAATAAAGGTCTAACAAAAAAAGTTTATTTTCCTATGACAATTGTAGAACAAATTTTATTTTCATATATGAATTTTGCATTTGTGTTACTACACATTATAATAAAACTATAAGACTAAAATAGCTTTAAACAGTTGACTATCCTGCTAATGTTATGAAGGTTATTTATATAATGTGTATAAATATTAAATTTTTAAATTTTTGATAAATCTTATTAAACTGTATTAAAAATATTTTTAGATTGAAGAGGCTCCTCCTCCTGGCAAAAAAGTACCTAGAAATAAATACCCAATTTTATTCTTTGGCACTTATGAAACGTAAGTATTTTTAAATAATATCATGTAGATGTCATAAAAGTTTACATAACTTGGTATAATTTTGTAAATAAATAATCAATGTTAATTTCAGGAAGCCAACTTTTATTAATTGAAAGAAATGTATTTCTGTCAAGATTTGACCATCCTCAAATTTGACTCAAAACATTTCTTTTTAATTAACGAAAGTAGGCTTCCTGAAATTAGCAGAGATCTATTTATTTATCATGTAGTTGTCATTTCTGTGTTTTTAATCTTATTGTAAGATTAATAGTAACTATAGAAAATTAAATGATTTGATTGGAAATTAGCAAACTATTACTGAATAAATTGAATATCAACTCAGCTTCTTTTAAAACATTTAACACCTTATAACGCTAAGAAATATTTATTAAAACACAAACATTTTCAGCCTAATGGAATAGGCCATCATCAGGTGATAGGCTATTGAACAACTTTCAAAATTGCATTAAAACGGAACTTTCGAACATTACAAATTCAAAAATAAAATTAAAATGTAAAATAAATTAACCAATCACTATACANTTAGAATAGAACAGAGAATAAACTGCCCAAATACCCTTAAACAAGGGAAAAGTACTGTACATCCTTTATGAAGGCATAGAACCTTTACTACATGAAAATGAAAATTAATGAATACACTGTGTACAGTAATTTACCTGATAAGACAGACCTCAGAAAAGCATAAAGCTGTCTACAATGAAAATTATCTAGCCGACTCCCAAGTCCTTAGCCACTGCACTGACACTTTCTCCGTTATCCAGTCTCTTTAATTAATGCCCGCAACGTCGGTAGGAGTTCCTGTCACTTACAACCCGTGTTTACAAAAGCTGTACTCCGAGATTGCCAAAAAGAAACGCATCAACATCGCATACAGGAGATGTCCTACTGTATTTAATATACTCCGTAATGCTAAGGATGCTCCCAACAATGACTTGCTATCGGGAGTGTATGTCATCCCATTGAATGATCATAGGTGTAATGAAGAATTATTATACATTGGCTCCACTAAGTGCTTGTTAGGTATCAGAATAAAGGAGCACAGGGCTGACATACAGCACAAAAGAGTAACTACTGCACTGGCTCGTTATGCTATGGATCCAGACATCCATCCAATATTTAACGAAGCCAGGATCATCCACACCACACCTCATACCGAGCATCTGAGATGGATTGAAGCGATTTGTATATATAAAGCGGCCCATGACAACAAGTGTATTATCAATAAGGGTGAATTGTCTCTATCCCTAGCGTGGCAAACGCTTATATATCACGTACAAAATTCTATATAAATAAAAAACTTTTACCTCCAAAGAATGCGCATGCCTGTTGATGACGACAGCTGCAGGATTCATTGATTTCGTTAATCGAATCTCTTTCAAATTTTGTATTCCATTGAATGATTTTTTACGTATTTACGTTTTTTCACCTGATGAAGAACCTTAAATCGGTTCGAAAACGCTTGTGGGAACTTTTTCTTGATAATTTTATTTAATATCGCACCGTAAAGGTTTGTAGTAGTTTAATTTTGCTATAACACGGTGTTGTGAAGTTTGACATGTTCACTTGTTTTCTTTTAACGGAAGATGCCATTGCGGAGTACTGTTGTCGTGATGGAATCATTTAGATGTATGGTTCCCGCGCTTTTCCTCTTTTTCAAACAAGCAACAGTTGTCGCCATAGAAATACGGATCGAGAAACGACCGTTAGTTTTGAAAACGGAATAGATGATTGGCCGTCCATCATCGGATGATCGCACGGACCTCCAATAGGACTACGAAGCGCTCATTGGTCAATCAGCACTATCTTCATTCCATATAAAAAGATTAAGTTTAAATGGGAAAGTTAAGTTTGCCTAAGTTCGTTTTCGCCCTGCCAAGGTGTGGCCGAGTTATCCAGAGTGCCGGGTTATCGAGGCTCTACTGTAAATCTAAAGACCAACATATTGGAGCTGGCGCATCTTATGTGCTACACTTTGGTTTTCCAGTTCAACGAAGCTACTTATTTACAAAGACGAGGTGTCCCCATGGGCAGCCCGCTTTCGAGAGACCTTTGCGAGCTGGTGGTGAGACAGTTGGAGGAGAAAGTGTTGCCCAAATTCTTACCAAACATCAGTCTATACCAAAGATATGTAGACGACATCTTTATACTGTGGAAAACCACTTCCAATCTGGACGATTTTTTGTCGTGTATGAACGACAATGTGTACGGCCTAACCCTCGGCTTGGGTCAGGTTAGCAACTCGAGTGCACATTTTCTGGATGTTAACATCCGTCTCAGGGGGGCAAGATAGAAACGAGCGTTTACCATAAACCTGACCAGCTCCCGCTGTTCATCCCCGCGAACTCTTCCGACCCCTTTGTCTACAAAATTGCAGCTTTCCGTGCCCTTACCAGACTGGCCTTCACGCACCACACACATGTGCGCGACGCATGGTTGGAGATCCGTCACATAGAAAAAATTGCCGTTGAGCATGGTTACAGTAAAGCCATGGTCCCGCGGTTTAGCACGTGCATGAGCTCGCCGCAGGGACTGCCCCCTACCATCACCTGACGACAACCGACAACCAGATAGAAACGCTAGATGCGCGGTCGTCTGGTTCAACCAGCATTTAGACCCCCTATATAGGGAGATTGCTAGAAGCAGTCGCACCAAAATTGCGTACTTAAGAACCGGCACGCTTTACGACCTGCTGCGCAACGCCAAGGACGCAATGGATCTCACCAGGGCCCCAGGTGTTTACTCCATTCCCATCAGGGACGACAGATTCAATAGGGACTTAGTTTATATTGGCTCAACCATCCGGTCAACACAGAAATGAATACGTGAACATCAAGCTGATATTAAACATAAAAGACACACCATCATCTTATCGACCTACGTCACCGACCCTGAAATAAGGGCGGACTTCCGGAACACCAGACTTATCAGACAAGCGTTCCGTGCGGATCACATCCGTCACCTGGAGGCCTGGGAGATTCATAAAGCTATCAGAGGGGGCAACTGCATTAACTTCAAGGATGCGGAAACGCTTGCACAGGCGTGGAAGTATTTGTTCAAGGAATTCGAACAGTGTCAGTCGGAGGGGTGAAACCCGACACGCACATTTATTTATTTACATCGTAGGCAACATCGTTACGACGGTCGGATCGAAACATGGCCAGTCACCACCTGAAGCAGACCTCGGTGGAGGTCGAAAGTACTTGTGGAATTTACTAGTGACATAACACTCGTAAAAAAAAGGTTTTTCGTGGATTGACCAAGTTTTCACTCATTTCTCTTAACTTTAAACAACCATATTAAATGAACTAATTTTAATTTTTACAGATTTTTACAATTTTAGATTTAATTAATTAATTAAATTAATAATTAAGTCTTACTACACATAAGACATTATTCTATTGCATTGTAAGATGGTATTTTAAAATTACTTATAAATTATAATCACTGTGTACTTTTTTTTTATGTTCATACAATTATTATAGACATTTACTTTTACTGATAGTGCAGATTAATTTTAAAAACTAATATTATGCGAAGAATTATTATAAAATGCAACAGGGAGACAAGCATTGTGAAATGCTGGGGGATTAAACTAAGTCCCAAATATAACATAAGGCAATATTAATTGTCATTTGTAAATTTTAAAACAACTACATTAATAATGCATTATTATGAATTTGAGAGAGAAATCTGTAATACTCTTTAATAATCTATTTACAATTCCTCAGACTAGAGTCGAATTATAGTTCAAAATCTTTTAGAGAACCTTCTGAAATAAATCTACAGTCTTATCATCATTAGAATGACAGTATAGTATGAAGGTTCTAAAGGTGATAAGTTACTAGAGATTTATTTAAGAAGATTCTCTGAGGTGGTTTTGAACTCTTAATAGTCTAATTGATTAAAATTTTTTTGAAATATTTTAACAGTCTATCATAAGTTGGCACCTATTTTAAACAAATTAAGACACACGCCCCTTTTTTATTTGTTTAATCCTACATCCATCAATTAAAAACTGCATTGCATCTCATTTGTTCTCAGAAACCTCATAATTACTGGTTACAATTCAATTTGAGGGCAAGTGTTAATTAATGAAGTGATTAAAAAAAATTAAATAATTTTAATTTAAATGGTATTATTTATTTTTCAGTTTAATATTTTGATTGCATAATAAAACAATTTCTGATTTTTTTCAATTTATTAATATTTTATAAAGTTTAGGAAATTTATTGAGAGAGAAATTTAATAAATATATACAGTACTTTTGTACATGGATTCTACAAGATTTGTTAATGGATAATGGCCTTTTTTCTTTTTTCAAAGCCATCCACTGGATTAATAACAGGATAAACTAATTTAATTAAACATTTTATTTTTAATTTTAATAATTTAGCAATTATAAAAAATATGTAACTGTTAATTATAAAAAATAATTAATTAAAAAGTTAAAGAAGCAATAAATAGCATATGTGCATAGTAAGTCAAATGCAGTTTTACTTTATCAATATGCTATTCGCGTTTTTCACCGGATGCTCGCCCTCTGGTGTTTAAAAACAGAACTACTCTATCTGGGTCGTTTGAATGTTCTTCGTATATTGTCAACAGTAGAGATGAATAGTAAAAGTAAAAGTAAAGCTTTCTGTTGTGTTCCAAATTGTAATTCCAAACCCATACGCGATCCCCGTATAAGTTCTCATGTATTCCCACATGAAAAACAGATGCTTTTTTGTAAATCAGAATTCGGAGAATCTCAGAAATGTAACCGACGGAAAGAGTGGATTCGACTGCTAAGAATTGGCAAAAAAGTTACGAAGTATATGGTAGTATGTTCAAAACATTTTACTCCTGAAGATTATATTTTGTCATGTATGTTATCATGTTTTTATAAATGTTTAGATTATTGTAATTCGATAGTATTAAAAAATCAAACTGAAAAAGATTGCATAGAGTCTAAGTATAAAGTAATTTAGTATTTGTAT